GGGTGAGGGAGACTGACAGTGAGGTGAGGGGTGAGGGAGACTGGCAGTGAGGTGAGGGTGAGAGAGACTGGCAGTGAGGTGAGGGGTGAGGAGACTGCAGTGAGGTGAGCGGTGAGGGAGACTGGCAGTGAGGTGAGGGGTGAGGGAGACTGGCAGTGAGGTGAGGGGTGAGGGAGACTGGCAGTGAGGTGAGGGGTGAGGGAGACTGGCAGTGAGGTGAGGGTGAGGAGACTGGCAGTGAGTGAGGGGTGAGGGAGACTGGCAGTGAGGTGAGGGGTGAGGGAGACTGGCAGTGAGGTGAGAGGTGAGGGAGACTGGCAGTGAGGTGAGGGGTGAGGGAGACTGGCAGTGAGGTGAGGGTGAGGGAGACGGCAGTGAGGTGAGGGGTGAGGGAGACTGGCAGTGAGTGGAGAGGTGAGGAACTGGCAGTGTGTGAGGGGTGAGGGAGACTGGCAGTGAGGTGAGGGGTGAGGGAGACTGGCAGTGAGTTGAGAGGTGAGGCAGACTGGCAGTGAGGTGAGGGGTGAGGGAGACTGGCAGTGAGGTGAGGGGTGAGGGAGACTGGCAGTGAGGTGAGGGTGAGGGAGACTGCAGTAGGTGAGGGGGGTAGGGAGACTGGCAGTGAGGTGAGGGGTGAGGGAGACTGGCAGTGAGGTGAGGGGTGAGGGAGACTGGCAGTGAGGTGAGGGGTGAGGGAGACTGGCAGTGAGGTGAGGGGTGAGGGAGACTGGCAGTGAGGTGAGGGGTGAGGAGACTGCAGTGAGTGAGGGGTGAGGAGACTGGCAGTGAGGTGAGGGGTGAGGGAGACTGCAGGAGTGAGGGGTGAGGAGACTGGCAGTGAGGTGAGGGGTGAGGGAGACTGGCAGTGAGGTGAGGGGTGAGGGAGACTGGCAGTGAGGTGAGGGGTGAGGCAGACACCATCACAAGATCACAGACGCTCATAAAAACTTTTGTAAATCACAGCAAAACTAATACTGTGAAATATATTCATAAATTTGTTTCAGTTTTTTTTAAATCTATAATGTTAGCACCTGCGATGCTAACACCCGTTATGTTAATACCTGCAATGCTAACACCTGCGATGTTAACATCTGCAACGATAACACCTGCAGTGCTAGCACCTGCAACGCTAATTCCCGCTATGCTAACAACGCTGTGACGCTAACACCTGCAACACTAGCACCCGCTATGTTAACACCTGCAACGCTTATACCTGTCATTCTAACATATGCAATGCCAACACCTGTAATACCAACACTTAACATCTGCATGTTGCACATGTCAATGAGCACTAAGTGTCACCAGACAAACAGACGTTCAGTGAGAGAGATTATCATTGTATATTGTCACAGGGAGGAGATAAACCCTCATGGGTCACATGCAGCCCCCTGGGACTGGGAGGTAATAGGTTTCATCCAAGGGAAAAGCCATTCCAACTCCTTGGATCAAGAGACCTCCACCAGCATCACGGCTCCCGCCATGACATGCAAATTAAACAGCACTTAGCTAATTTGTTGTATTTTATTCTTGTTTTTAATACTGTACTTGTTTATCGTGTCCTTGTTCGTACTACTGGTGTCCTTGTTCGTACTACTGGTGTCCTTGTTCGTGTTAATGGGATTATGTTGATATATTGTTTTGTTTTAGGCTGATGTCAATGTGTGATGTGTGTGAGTGTTGTGGTAATTGTGTTGTGTGGTGGTGTGTGTGTGTGTGTGTGTGTGTGTGTGTGTGTTGTGTGTGTTGTGTGTGTGTGTTGCTGTGTTTGTGTGTGCTGGTGGTGTCAATGGTTGCTGAATGTGGGAGGTCTGATTATCTTGATAATCTCTCTCTCTCTTCCTCCTCTCTCTCTCTCTCTCTCTCTCTCTCTCTCTCTCTCTCTCTCCCTCTCCTCCTCTCTCTCTCCTCTCTCTCTCTCTCTCTCTCTCTCTCTCCTCTTCCTCTTCCTCCTCCCTCCTCTCTCTCTCTATCTCTCTCTCCTCCTCCTTCTCACTCCTCTCTCTCTCTCCTCTCTCTCTCTCTCTCTCTCTCTCCTCTCCTCTCCTCTCCCTCTCTCTCCCTCTCTCTCTCTCACTCTCTCTCAGTCTCTCTCTTTCACATTAGTATTAACATTAGGAAATCATTCAAATACATATATAACGAAGAGGAAGTGAAACGTGGGTAGGTAGGACCGTAGAGTGTGTGAGTTGCTCTTACATACGGCCTCCTACAAACCTTTCTTATTCATCATAACAAATATTGAAGTTGATTTTCATCAGTTTCAGCATCGGCCGTCTCCCACCAAGGCAGGGTGGCCCGAAAAAGAAAAACTTTCACCATCATTCACTCCGTCATTGCCTTGCCAAAAGCATGCTTATACTACAACAATAAAACTGCAACATTAACACCTCTCCTTCAGAGTGCAGACACTATACTTCCCATCTCCAGGACTCAAGTCCATCCTGCCGGTTTCCCCGAATCCCTTCATAAATATTGCCCTTCTCACACTCCAACAGCACGTCAAGTTCTAAAAGCCATTTATCTCGATTCGATCCTATCTAACACGCTTATGCATGCTTGCTGGAAGTCCAACCCCCTCCCTTCAACCTTTCCTAGGCCGACCTGTACCCCGCCTTCCCTCCAATACAGATTTATACACTCTCGAAGTCATTCTATTTCCTTCCAGCCTCTCTACATGTCCAAACCATCTTAACAACCCCTCCTCAGCCCTCTGGATAATAGTTTTGGTAATCCCGAACCTCCAAATTTCTAAACTACTAATTCTCTGCATTATATTCACACCACACATTGCCCTCAGACACGATATCTCCACTGCTTCCAGCCTTCTCCTTGTTGCAACATTCACCGCCCATGCTTCACACTCATATAAGAGTGTTGGTATAACTATACTCTCATTCATTCCCCTCTTTGCTTCCATGAACAAAGTTCTTTGTCTCCACAGACTCTTCAGTACACCAATCACCTTTTTCCCCTCATCAGTTCTATGATTCACCTCATCTTTCGTTGACCCACTTGCTGACACATCCACTCCTAAATATCTGAATACTTTATATGTTAATAGAAAATAAAAATCCCTTTGACGTGCGCACACACACACACCTCAAAGGCAATGGAACCAGACAACATTTCCCCATGGGTCCTTAGAGAGGGAGCAGAAATGCTGTGTGTGCCATTACCCACAATCTTCAACACATCCCTTGAAACTGGGCAACTACCTGAGGTATGGAAGACGGCAAATGTAGTTCCCATTTTTAAAAAAAGGAGACAGAAAAGAGGCAATAAACTACAGACCAGTGTCACTGACGTGTATAGTATGCAAAGTTATGCTGAAGATTATCAGGAGGAAAATGGCGGAGCACATGGAATGGAACAAAAGTATAATGACAACCAGCACGGTTTCATGGAAGGCAAATCCTGTGTCACAAACCCTCTGGAGTTTTATGATAAAGTAACAGAAGTAAGACACGAGAGAGAGAGGTGGGTTGATTGCATCTTCTTGGACTGCAAGAAGGCTTCGACACAGTTCCTCACAAGAGAGTAGTGCAGAAACTAGAGGATCAGGCGCGTATAACGGGAAGGGCACTTCAGTGGATCAGAGAATACCTGACAGGGAGGCAACAACGAGTCATGGTACGTGATGAGGTATCACAGTGGGCACCTGTGACTAGCGGGGTCCCACAGGGGTCGGTCCTAGGACCAGTGCTATTTTTGGTATATGTGAATGACATGAAGGAAGGGATAGATTCAGAGGTGTCCCTGTTCGCAGATGATGTGAAGTTAATGAGGAGAATTAAATAAGATGAGGATCAGGCAGGCCTTCAAAGAGATCTGGACAGGCTGGACACCTGGTCCAGCAATTAGAGAAAGTGCAAAAGTTTGCGACAAGGTTAGTTCCAGAGCTAAGGGGAATGTCCTACGAAGAAAGGTTAAGGGAAATCGGCCTGACGACACTGGAGGACAGGAAGGTTAGGGGAGACATGATAACGACATACAAAATACTTCGTGGAATAGACAAGGTGGACAGAGATAGGATGTTCCAAAGAGGGGACACAGAAACAAGGGGTCACTCTTGGAAGTTGAAGACTCAGATGAATCACAGGGATGTTAGGAAGCATTTCTTCAGTCACAGAGTGGTCAGGAAGTGAAACAGTCTGGCGAGTGATGTAGTGGAGGCAGGAACCATACATAGCTTTAAGACGAGGTATGATAGAGCTCATGGAGCAGGGAGAGAGAGGACCTAGTAGCATTCAGTGAAGAGGCAGGACCAGGAGCTGAGTCTGACCCCTGCAACTACAATTAGGTGAGCACACACATCACATATTATATATATATATATATATATATATAATATTAAAATATATATATATATATATATATATATATATATATAATATATATATATATATATGTATGTATGTATGTATGTATATAGTAACATTCCAAGCACTTTCGTGATTAATAACATTATCAAGGATCGGTAAACATACGACATCAAAAGACTTAAAAGCTGAGATATGACCTGACATGTAAATGCCTTCTCAGTATTGTGAAGTTTTATAGTCAGGTCATATCAGGTAATATTTGAGAGTGACATGTCAGGGAAACTGTGTCAACACCACTTGTAATACTCACAAAGTTTATTCATTATAAATAAGTCTAATTTATGTAATCCTGAACTCACTGATATTGCAGTCAATACTATTTTTTTTGAAGCTCAATTATATTTTATTTCCTCCAACCACAAATTTGATAGACGCCACTTTCTGCACATATTGAAAATCAATTAAGTTATTACTGTCTCTTGCATGAGTATTCGACTCTTGCCAAGATCTACTGCTATATTTATGCTGTATTCTTAGTTCAAGACTTTTCCATTTTTTTTTTTTCAAAAATAAAATTTATTGCATTTTGTAGAGAGAATTCTATATCTACAGCCATCAGCATTTTCGGAAAAATTATTATTTTTTTCCTCGTGTAAGGGCAAGCGCTTTTATTTGCAGTCGCTGAATGTCTAAGTAGTGCTGTAAGATACAAAAGAAGCAGAGCACTCCCGGACCTGCCTCAATTTTGGCCAGACGATACAAGAACTCATGGACTACAAGATACTCGTGGTGAACGAGGATGTAAGTCATCCTACCGTCACGGCATGGTGAACGAGGATGTAAGTCATCCTACCGTCACGGCATGGTGAACGAGGATGTAAGTCATCCTACCGTCACGGCATGGTGAACGAGGATGTAAGTCATCCTACCGTCACGGCTGGTATTGACACCGAGGATATGTACTAGTAAAGCATCGATGTGCTCTTTTCCAGGGCACTTCTAGAGTTACAGTAAGACAGACACTGTCGAACTGAAGTTATCTTCAGGGACTCTTTCGTATTATACCTTGTTGTGGTCTTCTGTGGTAACTCTTTTATCTTTAATGTGCATTAGAGTTAATGTTTTATTAGAGGCTCATGACCAGGCTAGTTCTAGTTTCCCTATGGATTATCATTTTTATATAAAACAAATATTTCACAGGTTACAAGAGTACATAGCATTTTTAAGGCGAATTTTCCATTCATGACGCACAACTACTGGTCGGAAATCATTCACTGAAGTTGGGTAAAATTTGTGATGAACAATTAGTTCTAGCAGAAAAAGTTCTGGAACGGGCACGAAGTTCGTTACCAGAACTATTTTCTACTGTGGTTGTGACACGGCCAATGCGTATCGCACAGGCTCTGCGACATAAGACTGAGAATCCAACTCATGACGGTAACCTGGGCCTATTTGATGAGAAACAGATGCGGCCGTCTCTCTCATACAAAGATCACGTCCAAAATACAACTCTCAGACAAGTCACAAGAGGTATTCATGTCTCAACACGCCGGAGACTGTTGTTGATATATGGCCAGAATAATTACAGGGAGATGGACTTGAGTCAGCTCGTGGACAGTCCGTCTTAGGAAGCAGAAGATAAGAACACAACTTGTCATACAATACGTGTCAATATATCAGTGAGAGAGATTTTATCACGTGCCATGGAAAATATCAGGTATGGAAGGTTATGTACTGGTGCCTGCAGTGTGTATGAGACATATAGTGACACAGTACACAATCTCGTGGGTGGCACTCTGGATGAAAAGAAAAAAATTTGGAAGACAGTAGCCCAAAAATATTCTGGCCAAAAATAGCAGTAAATGTGTCTTCCCGTATCAGGACATGTGCAAGGTGTCAAATTAGAGGGAAAGCAGGTCAATAGAGGTAGCTCCTATTATTTCCCATATCAGCGTTTGGTGAACCTTTCTCTAGGCTGGTTATGGACTGTCTTGATCCCTTATCAGGGATGCATAACGGAAATGAATATCTGCTAACTATTGTGTGTACCTCTGTTAGGTATCCTGAAGCAATACCATTACGACGCATCAATGCACGCTCTATTGTGCGGACTCTGATGAGAGTCTTCACAGAACTAAGGGTGCCGTGTGCATTCCAATCAGACCAGTGATCGACATTCAAGTCTAGGATCTTTCGTCAAATTCTTTTTCAACTAGGAATAACCACTAGGTGCTATAGAAAGACGCTTAAAAGCATGTTGAGAGCGTACGTAATTAACCATAAGTTTGCAAGAGTCAGTTGGTCACAATTCCACATAGCTTACATACGGCCATTCTGTCAAAGGGCCTCTAGCTCTTCTCAAAGAGGATTGAACCACAATAAGACTCCCTATCATGGCGTTTCCCTTCTTCAGGATAAACACTACCAGAATCGTGTTATAGCTGTATAATATATAATAGAAACTCAGCTGGTAATGAAGTAATTGTATGACAAATCATTCCTGCCAAGAACCTTCATCGAGCGACTTGGTCCTGACTTAATAACCAGTGCTTAGTAGATCCCTTTAACATCTAAGTGAAGTAAGTGATTCGATTTATGAGGTACACACGCCTAACAAACGACGTTCTGAGAGAATATACAACATTAATCATCTTAAAAATATGTAACATTCTAACGTGCGTGTTTATCGTGAATTCAATAGGACCCTGATTGTGAATCATAGAATTGATTGCACAGATTCTGTCTGATTATGGACGGGGTCACTGGGGAGTTGAACCCTGGAACACTTTCCAGGTAGACTGCAGGCAATCCAGATTGGTTGGTGTCTAGGCTTTCTGGAATACAGCCAATCAAGTGTTTAAAAACAACTGATCGTTTTGTGTGTGTGTTGTGTAATTATAGGGTAATGTCATTAGGAATGCCAATGGACTTGTAAGCATTAGGCTCCTAATAAAACAGGTTAGGACAGAGTTGCAAGGCTACTTCATCAGTATCTGACGGTCAGATTAGCAAAGAGTGAATCTGGCGTAAGTGAACGTAATATTCCTTATGCCACTGGACAAGGTGAAGCCTCCATTTTTAGTAATCCATTATGAGGTGGATGAAGTGTTCATGTTCTTCAGTAATCAGTGGAAGGTGAATTACATCTAGTTTTGTTTAATTAAACTAAACTAAAGAAATGTCATGAAAACCATAGCACCATTGGAAAGCTGCTTGTCTTGGTATTAACACATATAATAATGGTGTACTCCGACTATAACACATTCACCTGTACTCACTCTATGAAAATTAAAAATACCCACCTTATGCCCTGGGTTCTGTGTATTAATATTCTAATTTATCACATAAGACTTGAGAGTAACATTCTGCCAGACACGGCATCCAAAACACTAATAAAGGTATATTAATATATGTAACACCTTATTTCAAGGCATAACGAATATGAAGCCCCTTTTATGAAGGAATATAAATATATAACACCAGGGAAAAGGCAAGTAAATGTGTAACACTTTATCTTTTGAAAAATAAAAATTTAGTGGAGGTCATAACCGCCCATTAATTAATGCTAACACGCTGAAGCCAGTACTAATTATATTCTCCATAACATTATTTGGTGCGGAGCTTAACCCGATATTCTGGTAGATATACGTCTGAGAACCCACCACCTCAGTCCAGACTGCTGATACTGACTTATCTACGAAGTCGATCGTCTTCTGTTAAACCACTGGTAACTTACCAGAAATTTCAAATGCATTAGCATTAAATAAGCTTAAATTATAGGAATTTTTTTTTTCAAACACCTTGAAAATTAACTAGTGTTTATAACTAAAAGAAGGCGTCGAGGTGATGAGGACAGGAGAGGTACATAAAATAAATCACCGCTACTCATGGATGGTGGAATTGTTACAGTGATACCGAGAAATTGTATTTGAAAGACAAGGATGTATCAAGACATTAGGAAAAGGTTTCTCCACGACTGCTTCCTTAGTCCTAATCTGATGGACTTTAAAAGCTGTTCGTAGCGAAACGCTTCCTTAATATGTCTTGATCAATGTACACGTGTCTGTTGCCTACCAACATACACACACACACACACACACACACACACACACACACACACAACACACACACACACACACACACACACACACACACACACACACACACACACACACACACACACACACACTATAAAACAGAAGTGTGGGGATATTTGGTAAATCCACCCCCACCCCAGGGGAATAAATAAAATATTTAAATAATTCGTGGTAAGTGCTAAACCCATGTGAAGTCATACAGCGCAACACGTGGTGGAGGCTTGATCCTCCGTCTGCCGAGCATGAGACAGACGTCCTTCCTATTTGTACAGGCCTTTTCCTCCACCCCAGGAAAAACCCACGAGAGTTTTCATCGTGGCTGCTGGTACGGTTGACTGAGTGTCGTGCAGTGTGTGTGATCGAGACACAAAAGTGTGTGAGCAACTCACCTTTGAGAGGATTGTACCATTTGGCACCTGACTCCTCCATGTTTTTTTTCTGGGTTTGTTTGTGTTGCCAGATAAGTTACAGTACCAGTATTGTAGATATTTGTTCATAGAGTTAGTGTAGTCCTTGTAGTCTACCACCCCAATAATAACAAAAGCAATAACAATAACAAAAAAACTACTGCTGTCGTCGCCACCACCACCAATACCATGACCACCAACAATACGACCACCACCACCACCACTGCCACTGCCCATCCCCCCTCCCCCCCAACACAATGTTGGGAGTGGATAGGGAAGCAGAAAATACCTGCATATTTCTGGGCAACAGTAAAACTCAGCAAAGTGAAGGCAAGTTAGTGCACACACCAGCACACCCTTGAGCCTCGTAAAGTGTGTCCACCTACCACACACAACTCTAATCCTGTCTCAAATATCACTTATTTTTCGTAAAACTGTTGTATCCACCTACACACACACACACGCACACACACACACACACACACACACACACACACACACACACACACACACACACACACACACACACACACACACACACACACACACACACACACACACACACACACACACACACACACACACACACACACACACACATACACACACACACACACACACACACACACACACACACACACACACACACACACACACACAAAACACGAACAAACGCACGCACGTACAAACAGATTTATACATAAATACATACATACATTATATATATATATAATATTATATTATATATATATATATATATATATATATATATATATATATATATATATATATATATATATATATATATATATATATATGTCGTGCCGAATATGTAAAACTGGTCAATTAGCAAGAACTCATTTAAAATTAAGTCCTTTCTAAAATTTTCTCATATACGTTTAAAGATATATTTTTTTCATTAATGTTAATGTAAAAAAATTTAATTTTGCACCAAAAGAATCTTAGAAAACTTACCTAACCTTATTATAACAAGAGCAATTTATTTTAGCCTAACCCAACTAAATATATTTTAGATTTGTTTACAGTAATTTAATACTAAACAAACACAGTGAAATATATTTTTTTCGTTAGGTTCACAATGATTTTGACGAAATTATTGCATACACAAATTTTCACTTGTCCTATATGGCAAGATGAACGTAGTTATTTAAGCCAAGATCGCAAATTCTGCCTATTCGGCACGACATAATATATATATATATATATAATATATATATATATATATATATATATATATATATATATATATATATATATATATATATATATATAAAACACAGATTGTGTTGCTATAATTTTTTAATAAATTCTTATGGCGAAAATATATTTAA